GGCATTGAACGCTTTGGAAATATCAAACAGAGCTGCACAACTCTGCTTATTGTCTAAATACCAGCAATATCATTCACCACTTTCATTGTCGCAATGATGGTGCTATGTTGCTTTCTGAAGCCTGACTGATGTTTAGACAGGATGTCATTTATACATAAAACTCTTTACTTGTTCACTCACTAGGCTTTCAAGAACCTTAGCCAGAACTGACAATTTAGAGATGGGCCTATAATTATTTAATAAAGTGGCCTCCCCTCCTTTTAGTAAAGGCAGGACATAAGCTGACTTCCATACTTTTGGAATTGTGTTTGTGCTGAGGGAGAGGTTAAAAAGAGTAGTGAGAGGTGGTGCAATAAAATCTGCAGCTATCTTTAAAAAGAAAGGTTGTCCGGGCCAGCCGGTTTCTTAGGATCTAACTTGGTTAAGGCTTCATGAACAACATCAATAGTAAAAGGAGAAAAACTGAAAGGGTTTTCCAAACCACATTGTTCAGAGTCACAGACTGTGGTGCTCACAGAAGCAGAGTTAGAAACATAATCAAACAGAGAGCCACAGGACACAACATGCTCATTAAAACAATTTAACATAGTAGCTCTGTCCGATATAGTGCCAGATGCTGTGTTAAGGCAAGGAGGAAGCTCATTACGGATTTCACCGGTGGATATCGATTGAATTGCTTTCCAAAATGTTCTAGGATTATTCAGGTTTTTTATGGTAACTGACAGATAATACTTAGACTTAGCACTTTTGACATGTGATGTGAAGCTATTTCGTAGCTGCCTAAAATGAAGCCAGTCTACCTCTCAGCCTGATTGCCTAGCCTTTGCCCAGGCCTTGTTTCTCTCATGTAGGAGAATAGACAATTCAGCAGAAAACCAAGGATTATCTCGTCCCTTCACTCTAAATTTACGCAGGGGTGCATGTCTATCTATAATTTCCATAAAACCAAGATAAAAATAAGACCATGCAGTTTCAACATCATCAAACAGATCAATTTTTCCTCAATCAAAATCAAACAGATCATGTACAAAACCCTGCTCCACAAAATGTTTTGTGTCTCTCTTTATGATAATGCAAGGTTTAACCTTTTGGACCTTTGTGTCCCTAATTGTGGCTACAACACAGTGATCACTCACATAATTTGCAAATACTCCCAGAGATGAGTATTTATGGGGAATATTAGTTAAAATTAGATCAATTAAGGAGGATTTACTAGGGGACGTAATATTAGGGCGAGTAGGACTGTCTACAATCTGTGTAACATTTAATGACATACAAAGGTTTTTAAAATCCTCTGACACTGTAGTTAACAGTAGAACAGCAGCTTCTACTGAAGCCTTCCGAGTAAATCGCCAGAACGCAGACACCTCCTCATCACTCCACCGCTCCCATGATTTTTTTTTTGTGTTGCCATAAGTTAGTCTCTCTCCGTTGGTGCGCTGGGCTAATGCTAATGCTAATAATGCTAATGCAAATACAATGGCGGCTTCACAAAACTTTTCCGAGTTTTACGGGGCGTGGTTTGCAATCCGCCCAGCCAATCAGAAATGGGAACCTTTTTCTCCCATGAAAGTACCTGCTCTCTAGCAGGGACTAAAAAGGGGGTGAAAAGGTTCTCATGAACTAAGTTCTAGTTCCAATTTTTTTTGGTGTGAACGCAACATTTCGAGAACTATCGGAAATATACTGGGAAAAGTACTCCGGTGTGAAAGCGCCTTTTGACTGCTGAGGGGGGTCTGTAACAGCCCACCACCATGACCTGTTGGCCCTTTGCCACTTCAATATTCAAGGCTAAATATTTGAGTTGTTTACTAATTGATTTGGAAACCAACGTGGTTACACAAAACGTATTCTTCACATAAATGGCAACGCCATTAACAATACAACTTATGCTATTAGTACTTACTCAGCGGGGGCAATGTTAGCATCGGGACGCGCACCCAAGTTTCAGTCAAACAGTCAAAATGTCTCTGAATTTTCTAGTTGTAGACGTTGCTTTATACTGATAATACTGAAGTATACTTTTCAGCAGTGCATGCTGGTACTTGTGATGCACCATTTATCCCGCAGTTGTTGTTGTTCTTCTCTGACAGCTGGGGATGCATCTGTGCGTGGCCGGCTGGATGGAGGGGGGGAAGGTGGGATACCCGACCCGCTTCCCCTCGGTCAAGTGTGGAGACAACCACGTGGGCCTGGTTATTTATAAAGAACCTGTGGACCAGAGCAGCATGTACGATGCCTACTGCTTCAGGCTCAAAGGTACTGCGGCAGCACAGTCTGTGTTCAGACAGAGGAAGATGTTTTTTAATCGGCCCAAATTTCAGCTCCTAAACGGCATATGTTGCTTTCGTTTGTTTTTGTTTAGTCTGCTTCAGCATCACAAAACCCCTTGTCTATTCTGGTGATGACTCAGACACACATTTATAATTCGCGACGAATATTTTCATTACTCATTCTGTCACTTATCTCTTTATACTACTGGTCATACTCTTTCGTCTTTAAGGGTTGTTGGTGGCATTTTATAATTTTAACATTTGAAAATATAAAAAAATATATATTAGATTAGATTTATTGACTTTATTGTAATATAATTATAAATCCAACATATCTGATTTTGTCAGGTTCATAAGAATAATGTCAATCATTTCATAAAATATGAAAAAAGGTAATCAGAATGAAATCATGAAACAGAAACAAAAGTGTCAAAATGTGTAAATCCTCACATTTGAGAATTTGGAACCACAAAATGTTTTTGTTTCAGAATGTTTGCTTATATAAGTCTCTGTGCCTTAACAAATGGATAAGTTGAAACAGTTTCACCACCAATTGCATTAATTTCAAATGTAAGGGTTCCTTTGCTGAAATAAACTTGTGTGTGTGTGTGTTGGCAGATGTTTCGTGTGTGTGTCCTGCCGATTACATTGGAAACGGAGACTTCTGTAATGGCGTCCTGACCAGCGTCCTTGCATCCTACAGCAACTTCTCTATCTTTTACAAGGTAAATGTGAATGTGCTTTATTTAAACATCATTGTTTCAAGCACAGTGTTGTGCTTGCATGATCGACAACCTCATTCAAATGTCACCATCAAGGACTCATGCGCCAGCTGTTTACAGCTTTTAAGCTGACTAAAAGAATCCAATCATATTCATGCAGGTTTCTTTTAATGATGCTACTGTAACGGCCTCTATGAATTTCATTCACCATTATCTGTGGTTAAACACAGGCTTTATCTGACAGATAAACACAATGTTTATTATTATATAATAATAATAATAATAATAATTATCATAATTGTGTGTTATCCAGCTGAAGCTAATATCAGCATTTCTTTCACAGGTAGTCAATATACATATACGTATGTAGCCGTCGTCACGTGGGTCACAGGTGACTTTGTTGTTATTAGGTACTCGAAATGCGCATGCGTGCGATGGACATATCCACTGCTAAGGCACTGCCTCTGGCTGTCAGTAGTTACGAAATAGAACTGACGTTGCCATTCTGTTTCTATGAACAGTGTTACCGCCCAGGTTTAAGTGCTACTCTCGGTGTCGCACACTGCTCGAAATTTTTGCAGATCGCTACTCTCGAAGTTCAAACTATTTCAACTTTAACAGCTTCGTTTGAATGCAGAAATGAAGCACTGGTTGTCTCTCTAGTTTCGAGCTGTGTTAATGTGTTAAGAGATAGGAGTGATTTGTCTCCATTTTCTCAAAACTTCTACACTACCATTGTTGGAATGGAAAGTGGCATTTTTAAAATCATACACAGTGACTTTAACGACCGCAATTGGAAATGGAACATACCAAAATCAAAAATAAATTGTTGGCCTAGGATCAATATTTTGACTCCCAAATCCCGACAGGAACAGATCAACGCATCAAAATACAAACTATAATCCCTGTGGTCCTTGCTGGTCGAGAGGGGTTCTGATGAGCAAAATCACATTATCATCTTAATGCATAAATACCTTTTGACTTGTTTATGTGATTATTACACTTTTTGCATTTTATGAATGGAAAAGAATTATTGAGTGGATTTAAAGTTTTAACAACAAATAACTTCACATTCCTCTCTTTCTTTCTCCTCCCTTTGTGAAGTTGTTGTTGGACTATAGCGGCTCGTCTACGGAGGGCAAACAGCTCGTTGACTTTATGTCTCACAGGAAGTCTGAGGTCACGCTTTTTGTTCCTCATAATGCCGGCTTTGCCCCAAACCAGGTGATGTACCCTTCAATAATAATAATAATAACTATAACTAAATGCATTTCAAATACCAACATCAGGTACCCTTTTAAGTTAACTTGTTTTAATGATTTGGAGTTTACATAATGCTCAAAGAAGGCAGGTGAATTTTATATTTATATCTAACTGTATATCAACATTTAATAATGAAGAATTAGACATTTACAAAAGCAGGATAGAAACATACTTAAAGGTAGGGTAGGTAATTCACTTCAGAAACACTTTCTGTTATATTCCATGGAATGCTCTTAACATCCCGATAGCAATGAATAAATTAAATGATTTGACAATAAATATATACAAATATTTCATCTGTGGAAGCCGTGGCGCTGCAAAAAGCACGACCAATCATTTTAGCCGATCCGGCTAAAATAACTGGATGGCCTACCTGCCTGTCAGCCTTCCATCTCGTGCACAAATTTATCTCGTGCCCTCATTGGTCATGTGCACGTTTGTGTGTGTTGGAGGAGGGGCTCTCTAAGGAATTCTGAAGGAAGGGACAGATTTTTTTCAATTGTGTAGTTTCAAAATCTAGCTTACTCGAGCTGGTTTCTCCGTTCTTACCTACCCTACCTTTAACTGAAATAAAAAAGATAAAACATTTAAAAAATGTATTTGTTACCTTTTAGGAAATAGTTACAGTAGTAATAGGTAATAAAGTTGTTATATCTAAGAGCAATTAAAATGAAGTGTAGCCATATTATATTTACAATATTTTTATTACAATATTTAGTATTATTTAGTTGACTATTGATCACTCCGTTAACATTGGAGCGTAGAGAGCACAGTTATTTAAAAAAAATGTTTTCATTGTGTTTTGTCACTGTGTTTCATTTTATACGATGTGATTATCTGATGAAAATGTTTTCGGTAAATGATTCAAACAGAGGACATGGACTGCAGAGATTTTTTAAATGTGTGTGTGCGTGCGTGTGTTTCTCTGTGTGTAGACTCTGTCTGGTAGAGATCTTGAGTATCACATCTCAGCCAATCACAGCAGACGACCATTTAAGGATCTGAAGCACCAAGAAGTCATTGTATCCAGACTTGGGTTCAATCTGAATGTTACCTATGGAAAAAATGAGGTGAGAAACACACATACAACACAATATGATGATAAGACAATAGAGCTTCACAAAAACAAAGATATTCTAATATGTTAGATACGAAGCTAATAAAATGAATTTATGATACATGACAGGTTGAGCGTATTTAGAGTTTAATATTATCCCTCTAAACATTAAAGTACTTTTTTCCCCCATTTGAAGTTGTGTTGTGCTTCTTTGCAATATTTCTTTTCCAAAAGAAATTGGATTTGCAATATATAAAATATTATATTGTGAAGCCAGTTTCTTTGGTTCAGGTTAGTTTTGGATTGAGCTTTAAGATATTGTTTTCAGAGATATTTTATCACCATTTGTTTATGATTTGTGTCTTTGGCTTTCTAATGATTTCCCCTTAGAGCTTTAAGCTGGTGAACAAGCGGCTGCTGGTGGGGTGGGACATTCCTGCTGTAAATGGGATCATCCACATCATCGAGTCCCCACTGACAGCGCCCCCTGCACCTGTAAGTTATAATGGTTTATCCCAAAGCTGTCATCATGCAGCAAGGTTTTTTATTGGCGTACATTCACCAAAGTAAAGCATAGATATGAGTCATAAATAGACAACAATAAAAAACAAAGCTACATTGAAATGCCTCCACCTGTCAAAAGAAGAGAAAATGTTAAGAACAAATGTGAAAAAAGTAACTATTTAATAAAATAAGAAGAGTATAAAAAGGTGTAAAGAACAGTATGTAAAGTGCACATTTAGTGTAAGCTTTTACAATTGTCCTGCTTTCTGGTGAACTAATCAGTTGATTCAGTGAAAACAAAATTATATTTATCATTAAAAAAAAAGAATGTAAATGCAAATATCCCACCAACAATGACATGAGCATGGCCTCCAGAACGCGCCGTGACAACCAACCGTTCCTCATGCTAAATTGAATTTTCCGCTTGTTATTGCTAGGCACCAGCTACAGCTGTGAGTAAAGAGCAGATGGCTGTGTTTTGTATTAATGAAATGAAAACTCAACTGAGTTGCAATTAACCACAACTGTGTGGGACACAAGAAGATGATGAAGACTAAATCCCAAAAGATGTGCAGCCATAATCTAAATAGGTATTTTGTCCTCCAAAGTGACTTATATTCAGTGCTCATCTCCTTCACACACGTATTGTGACAACGTCCATAGAGTGGTGCATAGATGGCGTGCTTTTTTAGGCCGACTTGGAAGTAAGCAACACCCGGGTTCCCTCGTGTATTCAGACTTTTATATTCCATTTCGGATTAAAGCTGAAATTATCTCTGTGGCAAAAAATGTTTGCGGAAATGCCATCTCCAGAAGTAAAAAGCTAACATTAGTCAAAAGCTATCATTAATGATGACATTTCAACAAAGGAGTTCAATGGAGGCGTTTCAGGCAGGGGTGTTAGTCCTGTTTAATTATTAATTTTAATTGGTTATATTTTAATTTTCCTTTGGGCAAATAAAGTAGAGCCAAGCAACCCTGGGGAAAGTAAAACGTGATAGGGTATGTTTTTTGATGTCGTCGTTTATAGTATTGCAACCCAGTCTCACGGCATTTCGTGTTATAGTCACGATATTTAATCTATTGATTCGTGTTCACCAACACGATTTTCCCCTTTTTTTTGTGTCACACAGAACGATTTTAAAAGCGATGTAGTTCTATTAGTAGTATGTTTTGTGCCTGCACCACGTCTTTTTGTCCGTTCGGGTCTTGGAAGACCGGAAACTGTGTGGTTCATAAAAAATTTTTTTTACTCAATATCAAGCCACGATTATTGATTTTATTTTAAATCGTATAATGTCGGACTTTTTTGTCCGTCCGTGAGGAAAAGAAATGGAGCTCAGAGCCTCAGAATACTGAAATCTGTTTTTTTTAAATATTTTTTTCCTTCTAATTTGTGATTCTTTTCTAAATAACGCACAATTATCCTTGTTTTTATTTATTTGTTTAATTCTATAATCTTGGCCTTTTTTGCCTGCCGTCAGTAACTGAATTTCAAAATAAAATCACCGGAAACAGACGTAGGCGATACACACTGAACTGATTACCCAAGATCCTCAGCTATGGTTGAAGCTCGGTTGATTGGATGTTTTAGCCGCAATGCACGTTGGGATATGGTGTTTATGCGATAATCAATATGAAATCCGAAAACATAAAAAAAAAAATTATAATAATACTTTATTCCGAGTGTGCTTGCTTTTTTGAAAGTCATCACATAATGGCATTGTAATACACGGTTTGGCTGCATTACATATTACACATCTGCCGTAGTTCTTTATTTATAGAGCCCTGATTAGAAGACCTTTTGACAAACTGGAAGAACTGCCACCGAAACTGAATACGTGACGTGGATCATAAATATATCAGCAATTAAACAACATCTTCAATTTCTCTTCACACAATACATCTCCTTGCAGTATCAATACTAATTCGGCTGACTTTTATATTTGATCCAATTGGTAGATAGGTAGAGGTGCACAGCTGATAGACAGGGACTTGTAGTTTTTTAAGATATTATTGATTTTCTTTGAATTAAAGAATGTAAATACTGAGTTGAGAGAATAGTCAGGGGTTTTGGGTGATGGGAGACACATCTTTCAATAGCTTACAATTAAATTACGGATATACCTTTCTGTCTATGATGTTTTACAAATCAGATATTAATGTCTAGAAGTAAAACATATCAAATATTATAGCAATATCCTGTAAAATGATGTGAAAACATGAATAAAACTACACATCTTCAGATGTTATACATACATAAGTGTCCTACACTAATAATAACAAGTATAATTTGTTGCGTTAACACCTTAAACATGAACGTTTTTTAACCTGCACCGCCAAGTGGTTAAAGCACGTTATTGCATTTTTTTGTTGAATATGTTATATTCGATGAAACAAATATTAAGAGTACATACAAAATAGGGGGAAAGTAGAAGGTCAATGATAGAAATATAGAATATAAAAAATCAAGAAGATAATGTAAGTGATCTCTACAATAAAAATGTTTAGTGCCGGAAGTGAAAAGATATTAATACAGATGTAGCACCTAATTTCAGACTCCAGCTTATAGCTTCCTACCTACGACCTGCCTAAGACCAGTATAGAGGAATGTTAAGCCCTCCCACTATTTTCCAAGAGGGCGTTGCCAGATTTTCAATTTCAGGTTTTAACCAGGAGATGGCGCTTCATTCACAAATACAGAAAGACAAGTTTCATGGACTTTCAGTTGTGTTTTGAAGAGCATTTGAACACATCAATATTTTAGATCAACTAAAGTATATCTAATCTTGTAATTCAATAATATATAGTCTTTATATATTAAATAATCATAATAATAATGTAAATGTTTACATTACACTTCTTTATTTGTTATGCTCATACTTTTACCTTTACAATCGTTTGCTTTAATATGCAGTATATTTTTTGTATATTTTTGTGTTTGCTTCCTCCTGCTCCCTTTCGGACACATACTGTATGATTTATTATTATTATTATTAATATGAAGATATTATTAAGATAAGATAAGATAAGATGTTACTTTATTGATTGAACATTTTTGTTTAGAATGTGCTGTCCCACGGTAATTCAGAAGGCTCACAGGTCACATTCCGACCATTATTTAAAACAATAGGTGCTTTCACACCGT